AGTTCTATCATATCTAACTTTTCTAAAATTCTATTCATTTCCTTAACTTCTTTCTTGTTTATTTTGTGGTTAGATTTATCTAGTTCTGAGAGGCGAAAGTTCAAGTTCCTCATTAGTATAGTTTTATTGTCTATTTCCTCCTGTAATTCATTGCACTTTTCCTTTAAGAATTTAGATGCTGCTCTATGTGGCTATACATGTTTAGTACTGATATTACTTCATTGTCTATGGTACCTTTTAACAAAATATAGTTTCCCTGATTATCTTTTTCAGTTAGGTCTATTTTTACTTTTGCTTTCTCTGAAATCATGATTGCTACCCCTGCTTTTTTTTTTTTACCTCAACTGAAGCATAATAGATTCTGCTCCATCCTCTTACTTTAACTCTGTGTGTGTCTCTCCATTTCAAGTGTGTTTCTTGTAAACAACATTTTGTGGACTCTGGTTTTTAATGCATTCTATCTGTGAGTTCATTTCATTTACATTCGTAGTTATAATTACTAACTGCATATTTCCTTCCATCCTATTTTTCCATTTATCCTTCTCTTCCTTTCTTTTTACCTTGTCCCATTTCAAAAGTCTATTTTGCTTCTATCCATTGCCTCTCTTAATCCACCTTCCCATCTATCAGCACTCCCCTTCTCTTATCTTCTTCTTCTCCTACTTTGCTATTGGATAGGATAGATTTCTATACCCAGCTGGGTGTGTATGTTATTCCCTCTTTGAGTGAATTCCAAGGAGAGTAATGTTCAACTATTGCCTGCCACCCCCACCATCTGCCCCTCCACTATAAAAACTCTTTCTTTCTTGCCTCTTTTATAGGAGATAATTTCCCACATTTTACCTTTCCCTACCCCCTTCTTCCAGGCATCACTCTTTCTTACCCCTTAATTTTATTTTTTTGAAAGCATCCCATCATATTCAACTCACGTTTGTGCTTGCTGTCTATATTTTCTCCTTCTAACTGCCCTAAAAATGATAAAGTTCTTAGGGCTTACAAGTATAATCTTCCCATGTAGGAATGCAAATAGTTTAATCTTATTGAATCCTTTATGATTTATCTTTCATGTTTACCTTTTTATGTTTCTCTTGAATCTTGCATTTGAAAGTCAAATGTTCTATTCAGGTCTTTTCATCAGGAATGCTTGAAAATTTTCTGTTTCATGAAATAACTATTTTTTTTTCCCTTGAGGGATTATACTCAGTTTTGCTGAGTGGGTTATTCTTGGTTGTAATCCTAGCTTCTTTGCCTTCTAGAATATTATATTCCAAGCCCTCTGATTCTTTAATACAAAAGCTAAGTCTTGTGTGATCCTAGTTGTGACTCCACAATATTTGAATTGTTTCTTTCTGGCTGCTTGCAATATTTTCTCTTTGACTTGGAAGTTCTGAAATTTGGCTGTAATATTCATGGGAGTTTTCACTTTGGGATCTCTTTCAGGAGGTAATCAGTGGATTCTTTTAATTTCTATTTTACCTTCTGGTTTTAGAATATCAGGGTAGTTTTTCTTGATAATTTCTCAAAATATGATTTCTAGGCTCTTTTTTTTTTATCATGGTTTTAAGGTAGTTTAATAATTCTTAAATTATCTCCTATTTTCCAGGCCAGTTGTTTTTTCCAATGAGATATTTCACATTTTCTTCTATTTTTTCATCTTTTGATTTTGTTTTATTTGCTTCTTGTTGTCTCATAAAGTCATTAGCTTCTACTTGTCAAATTCTTTTTTTTTCCCCCAAAGAATTGTTTTCTTCAGTGAACTTTTGTACCTCTCTTTCCTTTTGGCCAGCTCTATTTTTTAGAACTCACCAATAAGACAAGGGGGCCAATAGACTGGCATGATGGAGGGATGTTCCAGGGTGAGAAGGCTCCAGAAATTAAGGGAAACTCCAGGTTAGGAGGCAGCTGAGTCATGGTGGCAAAGTCCAAAAAGAGAGAAGCACAGCTAGTAAGGGAATAAGCAGGTTATGGAATTGGAAATTGAGGGGCTGCCCATCAATTGGGGAATGGCTGAACAAGTTGTGGAATATGAATGTAATGGAATACTATTGTGCTATAAGAAATGATGAGCAGGCAGACTTCAGAAAAACCTGGAAAGACTTATATGGACTGATGCTGAATGAAGGAGAATGTTGTGCACAATAACAGCCATGTTGTGCGATGACTAATACTGATAAACTTAACCCTTCTCAGCAATACAAGGATCTAAGACATCTCCAAAGGCCTCAGGATGGAAAATGCTATCCACATCCAAAGAAAGAACTAGGGAGTTTGAATGCAAATCAAAGCATACTATTTGCTCTTTTTTTTCTTCTCTTTTGTTTTGTTTCCTCTTTCTGGTGGTTCCTCCTATTGGTTCTAATTCTTACTTACAACATCACTGATGTGAAAATATGTTTAATAGGAATGTATATGTATAGCCTATATCAGATTGCATGCCATCTATGGGAGAGTGGTGGGGAGGGAGGGGGAGAAAAATTTAAAACTCAAAAGCTTATGGAAGTGATTGTTAATAATTCAAAATAAATTAATAAAAAAAAAAAGAGCTTTACATTTAAAAAAAATAAGCTGGTTATGGCGCTCATCATAATTATAGTCTGGCATTCCTAAATCTGAACTTGTAGAGCCATTAATGTTACTATGCTCTATGAGGTATGTTTTACCCTTGGGGACTCCATGGCTGAAGTTCTAGGCTGAAAGGGTATTGCTTTAAGGTTCAGGCTTCTCCCCTTATTTCAAGTGACTGTTGGGTTGGAGTATACAGAGCTTTCTTTACTTGAAATGTGTGATTCAGAGTCATGTTCCAGTGCAGACAATATTTTTGCATGACTGGCAGGCAGTCTCTTTTGCTTAGAGTCCCCTTAGGTAAGTGTCTGTCATCAGAGTCTCCCTGCTCATTAGGGAATCCAGCAACTTAGCTATAGGCACCAAGTGGTTGTGGTGTTTTTATAAGACCTCTACCAGTCTCTAAGGGGGATGAAGCAGCTTTCTGTAGACCTGCAATGTTGTGTGTCCCATGAGTGCCAAGATTTTTAGCAAAATGCTTTTATTTTACTAAAGGACTTGGCAGTGAACTCAGGCATCACGCCATCATTTGTTTGTCTAATTGATCTTCAGAGCTGAAGTTGTAGCTAGGTGGTAAGCTTCTCTCTCAGCTGAGAGATATGCTGGTTGTGAGCTATCTATGGTCTTTCATTCTCAGAGACTGATGGACATCAACAGATAGAAGTGACCACAGGATCAAATATGAAATATAATATAAAAATATAAAATCCTCTGTCATCTAAAGCCCTTTGCAACCTGGTCCCCTCTTATGTTTCCAGTCTTCTTACACCTTACTACCACCACATACTCTCCTTGCTATTTCTCACACAGGACACTTCATCTCCAGACTCTGGGCATCTTCACTGGCTGTCTCCCATGCCTGGAACTCTCTCCCTCTTTGTCTCTGTTTCCTGGCTTCTCTGGCTTCCTTCAAGTCCCAGCTAAAGTTATACCTTCTAGGGGCAGCTAGGTGGCATAGCAAATAGAGCTCTGGCCTTGGAGTCAGGAGGCCCTGAGTTCAAATCCAGCCTCAGACACCTAACACTTACTAGCTGTGTGACCCTGGGCAAGTCACTTAACCTCGACTGCCTAAGCAAAAAAAAAAAAATTTAAAATTAAAAAAATTAAAATAAAATAAAGTTATACCTTCTACAAGAAGGAAGCCTCTCCCAATTCCCCTTTAATGCTAGTGCCTTTCCATTGTGTATCTCCAATCAATCCTATATCTTGTTTGTACGTAGTTATTTTCATGTCTTTCTCATTAGATTGTGAGCTCCTTGACAGCAGGGATTGCTTTTTGCCTCTCTTTTTATCTCCATCACTTAGTATTGTGTCTGGCAGATAGCAGGCACTTCATAAATGCTAACTGACTGAATGACCCAAAGAGCAGTGTTGTGGTATAATTCTTAATAGAGTTGTATACATATAATAGGAAAGCCACATGCTGACTCCACTGTGATTTTTGTTCTGGCCCTGCTTTCCCTAAAATATTCCGTAGTGTTTGGTTAAAATGCTTAGGCTTTGGGTCCCCTTAAGGGTGGTAGGTTGTAGTTTTAGATTTCTTGATGCTAGCAAAGTTAACATCTCCTTGAGTAGTTTGCTATTCAGGTTTCTTCATTGATCTATATAGCAACAATAACAACAACAATTATAATGATGGATTTAAATAGAGGGTAGCTAGGTGGCATAGTCAGGAAGACCTGAGTTCAAATCTGTCATCAGATACTACCTGTGTGACCCTGGGAAGGTCATTTGACCCTGTTTGCTTCAGCTTCCTCATCTGTAAAATTGGCAGGAGAAGGAAATGGCAAACCACTCCAGTGTCTTTGCCAAGAAAACCCCAAATGGGGTCGCGAAGAATCAGACATGACTGAAATGACTGAACAACAACAATAAATTTATATAGTGCTTCGAGGTTTACAAACTGCCTTACAAATATTATGCCATCCAACATCATAACAATTATTAAACCTGCTTTTATTAAGCCTATCTTATAGACTGAGGCAGAAAGGTTAAGTGGTTTGCCCAGGGTCACATAACTAGTAAGTGCTTGAGGCAAGATTTGAACTTATCTTACTGAGTTCAAGTCCAACATTATCCAGTGTGCAACCTTGCTGCCACCTGTGAGGAAGTACATACACTGAGAAGTAATCTCTCCCAAAACCTTTAGCAACAGTGCAAGTGTAATGGTTTGGAGTATGCAAACTTTGTGAAATGGCTACTGTCAACTGCCCGTCAACCGACATCTTGGGAAATTTCAAGCTCCCTTTGATATATTACAAATGCGGGTAATTTTTTGGCCACTCAGTCTATGAGATCCAAGCCCATTTAAAGGCTTTCGAGGTATTTTTTTCAGATGTCTTTTATAGTGATAACGCAGTGGTCACTTATCCTTTACTGTCCAGGAGAGCAATGCAGTCAACATTCTTGATCTTTGATGTCACCTCTATCTTTTCCAGGAGTGGAATAGTCTTCTCCTGGATCCTAAGACCTTCAAACAAACTGCCAGTGTGTCCACAGACTCCCACCCCAACCCCAGCCATATTCAAGGCAACATACATGAGAGACATGCCCTCCTTATTGCCTTTATTTATTGGTAGCATGAAGGTAAGACCATGGCAGTCAGGCTGACTCAGTGAACCAGAGAGTCTGCCTGACTTTTCTCTCCTCTGTTGCATTCATTCAGTCTCTTATATCATAATTATAGTGACCATTTGAATGATCAAACGTCAGTCTGATGGTCCCTCTGCTTCAATATAATTGTAGCCTCCACCAAAGTAGAATCACTGATAGACTTTTTGGCACCATGACTACAGCTGCTTCTCTCCTACCTTCATGGGTTTGTTACATGCCTTCCATGTAGTGCTAACATATGGGGGTTTCCGTGAGAGCTATTTTTGATTCAAGGGTGTGCTACCACTGGCTTATTCTCCTTACCCAACAATATCAAGATTTATTTCAGATACTATAGTGACCAGCACAATTCCTTTGAGTAGAAGGAATCTTCCCCAAGATAAAGATGATAGAGGTAATTAGGTTTCAGATGCTATCATTGATACTATTTATCTACAGGGAGCAAAACAAATCTGGACAGTTCTTGCATGAGTTGGCTCTTGAGATCTTCTAGTTAATTCACTGAAATAAAACTATTTCCTGGACTCCACAGATTTCCAGAATCATTGGTTATTAAATGACTATAAAGTACTCATTAGCTATTAAGTACAAGATAAATTTTCTATAATTGTTTTTTCTGGCTATTACCTTATGTCCACTTTTTGTTTGTTTGTTAAACTTAAGAAACAATTGCTGACTCCATCCTTGAAGCTGTTAAGATAGGAGGAAATAGGCTTAACATCTTCAGCAAAGAGTGCTACTAAATTGATATTGGTAGTGCAAGATTGAAGAGTACAAAATAAAATTTTAAAAAAGTTTTTAGGAGCAGCTAGGCAGTATAGGGGATAGAGCACCGGCCTTGGAGTCAGGAGGACCTGAGTTCAAATGTGACCTCAGACACTTACTAGCTATGTGATCCTGGACAAATCACTTATCCCTGATTGCCTCCAAAAATTAGTTTATAAGAACCAAATAATTTTCTTTAATAGGCATAGAAGGGGAAAGATATTTAAAAAGAACTTGTACTGTCATCTCAAATGTATATATGGTTGGTATGAATGATTCTCATAGTAAGAATTTATTAAGCCCTCACAGAGGCAAACAATCTACTTGTATGCATATGGGAAAATCATCCAACTCTTCAGTTTTCTATAGAATGTTTAAGCCAGGTTGGACAGTAAGTCCTCTATTCTTACCAATGCAAAAAAAATAAAACATTTCTAAAGTGCCTTTGCAAAGCCTAAAGCATTTTATAAATGCTAGCAATTATGACTTGTTATAATTGTTATTATTACTACACCATGCATATGGTGAGTGTACTATGAGTATTTATCAATGAAGATTACAATAATGCCTTGTATTTGTGCCTTTTTCTATAGAGCACAAATGATCTCAACCCCTCTAATGTGAAATCAATACCTTTATGTTTTTGGAGAGGGAAGCTCCACAATCAATTAAATCTTCCCTCCTAAGTTTACTTCTAGGTTGATGACCAAATTAGGAAGTTGTTATCACTGGGGCTACCGTCCCATGGATCTTCACTTTTCTGTCTCCTAACTTCTGTTCAAGTGACCCAGCAATATCACTACTAAGTCTCTATCCCCAAAGAGGTCAAAGAAAGAGAAGATCCTATATGCACAAAAATGTTTATAGCAGCTGTTTTTGTGGTAGAGAAGAGTTAAAAGCAAGGGATGACTCCATTTCCTATCAATTTCACTGCTTTTAGACTTCTCCATTCCTCCTTCCTCCCTGGCCATCTGAGTACCTTCTCTACCTCAACCTTCCCTCCCTCTTTTATAACTTCCTTTTATGTGTTGTCTTCCTCCATTAGATTGTAAATTCCTTGAGGGCAGGGACTGTCTTTGTTTTTATTTGTATTTGTATCCCTACTGCTTAGCACAGTACTTAATAAATGTTTATTGACTGACTAAGAATTGGAAACAGAAGGTGACTATAACTCGGGCAATGGTTGATTGAGTTATGGTATACATAGTACATGATGGAATACTATTATGATGTAAGAAATGATGAAGGGGATGGTGTCAGGGAAACCTGGAAACTACTTTCCAGCTTAGTCATTTTTGCTGTGTGATACCTCACATTTTCTTCTATTTTTTTTCCTTCAGTCTTTTGACTTTGTTTTAAGATTTCTTGACATCTCATGAAGACATTAGCTTCTATTTCATTGATTCTAAATTTCAGAGAGCTATTTTCTTGAGTAAGGTTTTTTTTTAAGTTTAAAAAAGTGAAATATCACTTTTTAGTGGGTAAACATATAACTGGTTTGGAGAGAAAATCCACCAGGACAGCAATAACTAAATTAAGGCAATAAAATAATTCAAGTAATGTAAATATAGAAACAGAGTAAGAAGTCTAAATTCCGAAGATATGATGCATCTGTTCATCACTGGGATTCACAAGCACTGATTCCCCCAGCTGTTTGCCTTTCTGTCTCTTCAAATATTCCTAGAGGTCTTTGTTTGACTTCCTCCTTTGACTCCATTGTTCCTTAGTTTGTATCATACTCATCTACCTCTAAGAAAGGTTAGGTGTGATTGAATTAATCAATGAAATAACACCAATGAGATAAAATGTAAAGCCCTTTACAAAATGTAATATAAATGTTATCTATTTAAAGTATCAAGATGTTCAACCTTGATTTATTAACTGAGTGAGAACCCTTCCCTATTCCATCAAGCAGAGACTTTAAACTAAGTCTGAACAAGCGCTTTGCATTGCACAGGAAATATGTTTGGATTGATTGAGAAAGCCTGGCTACCCCCTCTGCAAGGTCTAGGTCATTTGGACCAGAGAGTTCACACTCCTGACAGTGGAGGGGAGAGAGCATTCTAGATAACCCCCTGAGAAGGAACTGATTGAAGGAGACATAGAGGTGTAAGGGACTGGGGAAAGGTCTAAGAGGAGCAGAGCCCCAGGCCTCAGCTCTGGACTTTTCTTCCTTTCCCATTGGCTATAGGAGTTTCATGAACTTTGAAGGGTCCAGAGGATTTTGATTTTTTTCTTCTTAGCATCTCTAGAAGGGCTAATGGCAATGTTGCTTTGGGTAGCCAAGGACAAGCTAGATGAGGTAAACAAAGCAGATTCAATGCTTTACAAAAACATCTTGAGGACCCCAGAAAGGATTCCTAGGAGCTGTGCATTACCCGTTTGCCAAATGTGCTATCTTAACTCGAGCTCACTTTCCCCTGGACTCTGCATGTATTTATGGGAGAATGTGTTGCAGCCTTTTGAGGAGAATGTTTTGTACCAATTCTGCTACTGTAGTAAATATTTCTTTCTAAAAACAAAGTCTGGCTGAATACTTGATATCAACGTGGTGGGAAGCACACCAGTGGGGACTTGTGAGTTACAGCAATAGAAATCTGTCCCCAGCCCCGCCCCTCCCTGCCATAATACCTCAGGACCAAAACTTCCAGACTTATCTTCCTTTTTCAGAGATATCTTCCTTATTCATGTGACTACTCTGCTCAAAATCCTGCAGTGGTTGACTATTGCCTATAGAATAAAGTTTGAACTCCTTCTTAACATTCAAGGGTGACTACAGAATGGCATGAACCTATCTTTCCAGCCTTCTCGTATTTTTCTTTCCTGAATGCTCTCTCTGTGTTCTAGCTAAACACAACTCTTTATGTTTCACTTTCCTGTCTTTATGACTATGCTCTCCATTGTGGAAGAATCATTCCATGAATGGGAGTTGGAGCAAGCTCAGCTGATATTCAGATAAATAGTACTAGACTGAATATATTACAACATATGCAAGGCAAATGAACTAATTTTTTTTTAGAATTAATACATATTTATGGAGAGCAGCTGCTCCAGACTTATTTCTTCAAGCCCTCTCAGAAGAGAAAATAGAAGCCAATCACAGTGAGCTCCTTCTTCTTTCATACTCTAGATCTCAAAACCCCTTTTCATCACTTCCCCCCAATCTCTCTTTTATTTCTGTCTCTGATAAAGAGCCCATCTTTTCACCAAAGTCAAACCATCTACTTGTACTCTTGGTTACATTACCTCACATCTTCTCTGGCCAGATTTCCCCTGTAATCATCCTCTCTGCAATTCTTAATTTCTCCCTATCTCCTTCCCTGCTGCCTTCAAAAATGACCAGGTCTCCAACAGCTCTAATAAATGTTAATGTAAAAATATTGAACAAGATTTTAGCAGAAGACATAACTTATTTGAAAGATTATTCTCTGTGACCTAGTGGATTAATAACAGAAATACAGTGTAGGTTCAATATTAGCTTATAGCTAGAATTTAATTAATATTTTAAGTTTTGCAAAGCACTTTAAATATGTTCTCTCATTTGTGAGATAGGCAGCACCATTTTATAGACCAAAGAGGATGAGGTAGAGCAAGATTAAATGACTTGCCCAGGATCATACAGCTAGTAAATATCTGAGACAGGATTTGAACTCAGGTCTTCCTAAATCCAAATCCCACTATCTATCTTCAACACTACCTCTTTAAATCATACAAATATAACATTAATAACATGTTGCCCCTCTCCCAGGGACATTGCTTTGAAGACTTGGTGGAGTAGGGATAACAGCACAGAGTTATTGCCCACAGCTCCGTATTACCCATCAGACTCTTTCAGTTCCATCTGGTGAGAGAAGAGATAGATAGGTTGGGGGTCAGGTGGGGTCAGTGGAAAAGAAATTCAACCTCCTGGTTACTGTAGTCTTTGTAGCCTGTAAATGGAAGCTTTTTCCTTTGAATGCTTATTTGCATTTTTATGTCCCTTGAAGCTGCTATTTTTTTTTTGAGGCATTAAAAATTTATTTTTAATTTATAGAATAAAACAAGCATTTCCGTAACATAGTACAAGAAAAAAAGATGATTGTGCATGAAATTGCAAATCTACTATGCACTACTTATTCCTTTCAAATATACAACAAAATTATCATGTAAATTTCTTTTTTTCTTCCCTCCCTTTTCCTCTGCCCTGCCCTAGAGATGGCCAGCATCAG